TGGAAAATTCACATAATCACAAAAATCCTATTTACATGATAAATTTTATGCCTCTATCCCACCATATGAGACACAAAGGCACTAACTTTCTTTCTTCTCTCATGCTACCGCTACTCAGAATTCTTTTATGAAAAAAAAATGATACATTCAAACTTATCTTGATGTCCAGAGGAAGAGCTTCCCTAATTCTATGGTGCCTAATCCTTGGGGAAGCCAGCACGACACTGTAGCACTGGTGTTCAATGTTCTCTGGAACTAAAGAGAATTTGATTCAGTGATCTACTTGTGCGTCAAGTTCTAACTGCCTCAGCGACATTTGCTTGCTAATTTCTTGTTTTCTATATTGAGAACGCTTGTGGAAAAGGAGATCAGTAAAAGATCAAGTTTAATTTATCTCGTGGACTGGAAGATTTTATAATGAGAGACCTATTCTAATTCGTGTTAATAATGGAATTGAGAATTATTTTTTCGTCTCTCTTAATGCAAGGCATTTGGATGTCATTTGTTGGTAACAGAGGCAGAAGTAGCTGTGAAGGAAATTCATGACAGGTTATTACGAGGCAAAGTGAATAACAATTCGTCAAGAGGTTATTTATCACCAGTTAAATTTATCAGCAGTGAATAACATCTATTTAGTTATGCTTCAGCTCTCTGAATAGGTTTTTTACTGTATGATTTGTCAGACAGTCTTTTATTGAAAGAAACGAAATAATCCTTTATGTACTTTGCCTATTATCAGTTGAAGAAGCCAGATCACTATTTCCCGAACGAGATGGGATTCATAAATTAGCTGACATGGCTAGTTGATTGAAAGTGTAAGATATAATATTTGTTTACCCATTTTAGTAAACATCTAAGCACACGATAACTGATTCATCACACTTCTCAGAGAAAATGTTCAAAACATTTTCCATAATGTCATGTTCTAGGGTCTGTTACGCATCAATGATACTAGTGTTTAATAGAAAAAAAAATCCTGGAGTAGTTGGAGAAAATAGAGTTGGAACAATGCAACGTGGAGTTGAGGCAACTAAAAATTACCTGGCATACAAATGAACATATGCAAACAGTTTAGCTTGACCATGGATTTTATAATGATTGAAGTTTTCAGTGTTATCAACTGCCTTGTAGAACTAACGATACACGTTATTTCAGTGCCTAAAAGGCATCTTATCGTTGTATTTACATGCTATTGCCAAGTTTCATTTGAACGCATTCTAATCTAAAGTAGCATGGAAACACGCTATTTGTCATTAACTTCTGTGCATGCCATAGGCAATAAAATCCGGAGCAATACTAACCTTTATGCTCTCACCAAGGAAAGAACTACAATATTAATACTACGTCCACTGCATTATTGAACCAACCCTTCTCAATACAGTTTGAAGACTTGATGACTACCCAGCAGCCATGCTGTTTGGAAAATTATTTCAAAAAGTGATAGGAAATTTCTCACGAAGGAAATTCCGGTGGATTGACGACTTTCTTATGAAAATTCGTGACATTAGTTTGACTACATTTCTTTGTCTGACCCCAGTATCCATTTATATCCTATTCAACACAAAATAATAGTGGTACGTGATCAAGGGGTCTCAACTGCAGATATCTGATAATGGAGCATAAACAGAGATTGTCACATATTGATCAGAGACAGCAGAATGCGAGACAGAGAACAAGATGACAAATGTATCATTTGCAAATCCAAGGACGGGTTAGATGGCAAACCATCATAGACAAAGTTAAAATGAGAAGTAGCTGAATTTTAGCCAGTGGAAAGACCAAATTCAGAAATTATGCCTTTTTTCTTAATCCCTGAAATATGGTAATTATTTCTTATCAGGAAAAGCAGCGCTTCTCCAGCGTTCAAACAAGTCTCGTTAGTTCTCAGGTCAACCCTCTTTGGCGTAGTGGTAGGTAAGCAGTAGTAATCTTGACCCTTTCCATGTTTCGCCATGATCACTTTGGGAATGCATGTCAGAAAGTGAAAGGAAATTTATAACGAAGAGTTCGGTTGATTAACGACTTTCATGTGAAACTCTTTAAATTACTCCACTACCTTTATTTGTTTGATCTCGGTATTTATTTAGATCCTATCCAACACAGAAAATGAAGGCGACAGATGCATTATTTAAAATCCAATGACGGGTTAGACGCTAAAGTCAAGATGGAGGACCATCAATGACATACTTGATATAACAAGTAGCTCTATTACAGCCTGAGGAAAGACAAAATATCGTAACTATTTCTTATCAGGAGAAGCAGCGCGCATCTTCTCCTGCGTACAAACAAATCTCGTCAGTTCTGAGGTCAACCTTCTTCCGCGTTGTGGTTGGTAAGCAATAGTAGCCTTTACCCATTGCGTGCTCTACCCACAGTTTTGGCCATAGTGGACAGTTGGATGCGTCCCGTCAAGGAGTTTATCCCCACATCGGATGAGCGCTGTTTCGAATAAGTATTGTGTGCCTCAGAAATGCCATTCCTTTGAGGAGAGACTTATCATCTCGTTCGTAACAAGTTTACGCAGCATCCTTTTACAACAACAGTCACAATGAACATTTCGGCCGTGAAAGGTAAGAGTAACAGACCAGTGTCCTATTAGAAAGTCCGAGGTTCAACAGCAGAAGTTACACTGGCATTTAATACAATAATAAAAGTTTCGAAAGAGTGAGGATTATTGATTTGTATGTTCTTCAGAAATAAGCATTGCTATAAATTGACGTCCAGCCATCAGATCTTAAGAAATCTGGGAGAATCAAAGAATCAACTCAGGGAAAAAGTCGAACTAATTACGCTTACAAGATAATAAAGGAGTACAATTACCGGTGGACAACTGAATCAAGAGTTGCTTAAACTAAAAAAATTAGATATACACTCCTCATTACGAAGAAATGAACAATTATGAATTATTTTTGGGGAATTAGGTATTGTAATTATTAGGCGTTCCTTTATCTATAACTAGAAGATCACTTTGGTTTCAACTTATGGCCTGAATATAGCGAGATTTATATGGAATGCTGCTTCATGTTGAAGTCAGACCACATATTGGTTTCCATGCTCTGCTGACTGCAAAGACATCTTTTTTACAAGCCAGGAAAGCATTACCATTAGGATCGTCCTACTTATGGCAGTTTTATCATTGCCATTACAATATAACTTTACATATCTGAGAGATAATTTCATGAAAATTGTTCTGATGATTCAGAGTTTTCCTTTGTTGTCAAGATAATAGTAACAACTCAAGCCACTAAATAGTGAGTATTTATAATCATCAAGAGACTATGAACTTGCTCAGTTTAATTAAGGTTAGTAATTGCTCATCATCGAAGCTACATGTAGATTGGGGGCACAACGATGAGGACCCCTCTGCCTTGGAAACTTTATCAATGATTGAAGACTGTGGGAATAAGAAATCATCGAGTGGAGAGTATCGAAGGATTTTCAGTAAGTCGATTTCCACATTGTCCATTTCGTGGTAAACACGACAATAAAAACAAAGAAACAATTGTGTTCCAAGTTAGATCAAGTTTCAATAGACTTTTCATATCCAGAACTTGATTAGTCCGCAAAGCATTATACATTCACGTAACTTCTAACTATCATAAATCTGATGAAGAATTTTACAAACAAATCAATAACTTATGGACTACTAAATATCACATTTGCTACATTGTTCTTGCAGGGTAGAGTAGACTGATGTTTTTACAACTTTGTTTATCCTATGCAACGGATTATCCTTAATATGCTTGTCATGATGAAGAACAGTGGTCTTCATGTGTAGTTCTCTCAAATTAACACGTGATACCACATCAAGTTTAGAAAGATCCATTTTCGTTGTCCTACGTCAGCCTTTGATTGTTTCCATCTTTCGTCTTTTTGAACGGAAAGAATGGGGCCATTCTCATTTATCATACTTTGACGATTTCAACCTTCGGTTTTCTTGCGATCAAACAGTTGCCCAGTTTTATTATAAATCTCTATTGATTAACGCGTTTTCGTTTTTCCAGGAAATTGACTGAGAAAGGGTCTTCAACCACCTGTTAAGGCTATATATTGGAAGAAGTGCAGAGAGTGGTATCCAGCTTTGGAGGGTGATACAACAAGAAGAGGGGGAGCTTATGGCGACGCAGATGATGCAGGCAAGAGAGGTGGTCACGCTGGCAATTTTGTTCTCAATTATTTTACTGTCGTCTACGCCTGCCGATGCAACCCAGATTCTAAGGGGAATGAAGACATCTTCTCAGGCCCCTGCTTTACAACTAGCGCGTCGAAAATTACCACCTCGACCTCCTCAGAAGATGCATCCGCACCCCAGCCCCGGACATGTTCCGTGCTGCCCCTAGGATGGATATCTTGAATGGACTTTTCTAGTTGCTTGCTTTGTTCCCTTTCCCGGTGTTTTTCAACAGCCGTTCTGTTTGCCGATCTACTACAATGGTAAAATAAAAACAATGATTCCTCCTGTTTTGTTAAAGGAAACGATTTCCTTTTTTAGTCAACATTTCTTGAGGTGTTTGGTGTACTAAAAGAGAAATCTCCTTTGACCTCTCTTACACTGTTGCTCAAAAATTTGTTCGTTTCATGTCAGAAACGGGGCTTGTACAAAATTGTTAGAAAGCCGACCAATGTCTAAGTTCTAAAGGCCATGGCTTGTTCACGTTCCGATGCGAAGTATTTCGGTTGAGGTGTGGACTAGAATAGGGATCACGAGATTGGGTTACTCCGGAGAGAAGGCTGAAAGAATCCTCTGCTCATGATCTGTGACTTTTTCCACCTCATCCCTGTGAAATTAAGAGGATAAAGTTGATAATACAGTTTTCTGATACACTTGTGAACGGGAGCCTTGCACGTGGCCCCTCCTATTCGCATAACGGCATGGTGCGGTTATGCGAGAAGTGCTCTGACGTGTACACGTCAGAGCACGCTGTGCGGTAATGCATGTAAAAGTTTTTATAAGTTTTCTTTGTTCCTCCTGCTGTGTTTTTCCGGTGAGTATTAACTGCATGAGTCTTAACTGCCGTCGTCTCTCCGGCGAGTTTCTGACAAGTGGTATCAAAGCTCCCAAGTTGCGGGCCGGGACTCGATCGCGGCAAGGTACAGCCGTTGGAATCAAGAACGCGCAATCGAGACGCGCTATGGTAGGAGGAAAGGACGGCGTGGTTCAGAGGGTGATTCATGAGGTGAGCGCCGGGGCCGGGTTCCCAATGCTCACCAAGACCAACTACTCCGACTGGGCGCTGCTCATGAAGGTCAAGCTCAGAGCCCGGTTGCTCTGGACCGCCATTGAGAAAGGGGGCGTCGAACCCCATGAAGACATGTAGGCGCTCGACGCGCTCTGCAGCGCCGTGCCGGCCGAAATGTGGCCGGTGATCGTGGACAAGGAGACGGCCAAGGAGGCCTGGGAGGCTATCGCCACCATACGGATCGGCGATGACCGCGTAAAGAAGACGTCGGCTTAGAACTTGTGGCGGCAGTTCGACTCGGCGACGTTCAAGGAGGGAGAGTCTGTTGAGGACTACGCGCTGCGTCTCAACAGCATGGCGTTGACTCTCACCACCCTCGGCGACAAGGTCGAAGAGACGCAGGTAGTGGAGAAGATTATTCGCAGTGTTCCCCAGCGTTTCAAGCAGATCGTGGTCGCGATCACGATGCTGCTCGACGTGTCGACGCTCACCGTCGCGGATTTGACGGGTCGACTCAAGACGGCGGAGGATGCCTTCGAGAAACCGCCGTCGGCTATGCACCACGACGGCAAGCTGTACCTGACCGAGGAAGAGTGGGACGCACAGCGGAGGAAACGTGATGCTGAGAAAACTGGTGGTGGAGGTAGCAGCAGCGTGACGCACCGTGGCGGACATGGGCGCGGGCGCGGGCGCGGCCGTGGCAGCGACAAGGGCTCGTCATCAAGCGGCCTGACGGGCAACTCAGGCCGGCCTAGTGGTGATGAGTGCAGTAGATGCGGGAAGCTGGGCCACTGGGCCCGCGAGCGCCGATCCAAGCCCAAGAAAGAGCAGGCCCACATCATCCAGGATGAGGAGGAGGCCTCCCTCCTTCTCGTGAAGTCAACGACAGCCATATCGACGGTGCCGCCACCAACCTCCACTCCACCACGTTCTGCTATGACTCCGCAGGCAGAGGATCGGCTCCGGCATGCAAGCCCACCGCCGCCCGGAGCAAAAGGGGTCCCCGTCAATGGAGGGGCCGCCAAAGAAGAGAAGAAGCCAAGCGCCCAGACCCAGATCCATCTGCGGGAAGAGAAGGTGTTCGCCCACCTTGAAGAGGAGGAGCTGCGTGATGAGGAGGCGTGGGTCGTGGACACGGGCGCCACGAACCACATGTCGGGTTCCCCTAGGGCTTTCACCGAGCTGGACACGGCAGTGCTTGGGACGGTACGGTTTGGCGACGACTCGGTGGCGCGGATCGAAGGCCGGGGGGCAATCGTGTTCCTGTGCAAGAACGGCGAGCACCGGTCCTTCGCGGGGGTGTATTACATTCCCTGACTGACGACGAACATCGTCAACGTCGGCCAACTTGATGAGGCCGGGTACCATATCGACGTCGAGAAGGGGGCGATGAAGGTCCATGAGCCAGGCGGACGGCTCCTAGCGAAGGTGATGTGCGGAGAGAACCGGCTGTACATTCTCCACGCCAAGCTGGTTTGGCTGGTGTGCCTGGAGGCGCAGGGAGTCGAAGAAGCTTGGAAATCGCACGCGCGCCTCGGCCATGTCAACATGACCGCGCTGCGGAAGATGGCTTAGGAGGAGCTGGTGCGCGGGTTGCCGGCAGTTGGTCAGGTGGACCAGCTGTGTGAGGCGTGTCTGTGGTCCGATTGCGTTGGAAATGCCAAACAGCAGCAAGTATTTCCTGATGTTCGTGGATGATCGAAGCCGGTACATGTGGGTGGCCATGCTGCCTTCAAAGGACTGTGCTGCGGTAGCCATCAAGGAGATCAAGGCTCGGGCAGAAGGCGAGTCAGAACTGAAGCTGGGAGTGCTCTGTACTGATCGAGGCGGCGAATTCACCTCACATGAGTTTGCAGAGTACTACGTGGGAGAAGGTATTCATCGTCAACACACAGCACCATACAGCCCGCAGCAGAATGGCATCATCGAGCACAGGAATGGCACGGTGGTAGCAACCGTGAGGAACATGCTCAAGGCAAAGGGGCTGTAGGGCTGGTTTTGGGGTGAGACAGTGGCAACTGCTGTATACATCCTAAACCGGTGTCTGACGAAGAGCGTGGACGGCATGACGCCTTTCGAAGAAGCCGGCAGTGCACTATCTGAAGGTTTTTGGATGCATCGCCTACGTCCTGAACACCACACTGCATCTCAAGAAGTTGGAGGACTGCGGCCGCAAGATGATTTTCATCGGCTACAAGTGCGGATCAAAGGCCTACCCTGCCTACGATCCCACCACGAGGTGTGTCCATGTGACATGGGACGTGGTGTTCAACGAAAATGCCCAGTGGGACTGAGGCAGCGGCGCGGAGCAATGGGATGCGGGCAGCCACGATGATATGTTCACATTGGAGTATGCCGTCGGGAACCAGGTACCTCCGGAGCTCGATGGCGCCATTGAGGTACGCGTTGGGACCGGAGCCGATGTCGCCACCGCCCGTGCACTCCAGTGGGGGAGCGGTGCCGATTGAAGATGGAAGAGAGGAGGTGGAGTTCGCCACTCCATCCAGTGTCCACATCGACTACCTGGATGCTAATCACGATGATGTGCCACTCTGGTTCCGCAAGACCGACGACATCGTTAGGCTGGCCTCGCCACATGGTCTCGCGTTGTTGGCATTAATTGTAGAGGGGCTGCACACTGTAAGTTCTGATGAGCTAGTCTCTTTTGCTGAAGTAGAGGGCCACTCGAGCTGAAGGAAGGCTATGGAGGAGGAGATGGCGTCGATCGAGGAGAACTGCACCTGGTCTTTGGTTGACCTCCCACATGGTCGTCGGGCGATCGGGTTGAAGTGGGTGTACAAGGTGAAGCGGGATGAAAATGGAGCCGTGGTGAAGTACAAGGCGCGCCTGGTGGTGAAGGGCTATGCACAACGCTAGGAGATCGACTACAACGAGGTGTTCGCACCTATGGCACGGCTGGACATGGTGCACCTTCTCATCGCTCTCGCGGCACACGAGGGGTGGGAGGTGCACCACATGGATGTCAAGTCTGTGTTCTTGAATGGTGATCTCAAGGAGGAGGTGCACGTAGAGCAGTCGGCCGGTTTCATCAGCATGGCCAACGAGCACAAGGTGTTCAAGCTGAAGAAGGCACTCTACGGCTTGCATTAGGCGCCTAGGGCTTGGAACGCGAAGCTGGACGGCACGCTGCTGTCATTCAGATTCAAGAGGAGTCCCTCGGAGCACGCCATCTACACTAGGCGGAATGGGGAGACGCAGCTGGTGGTCGGGGTGTACATCGACGATCTGGTGATCATCGGCGCCAGCTGCGACGACATCAAGCAGTATAAAAAGGAGATGGCTAACACATTCAAGATGAACGACCTCGGCCTGCTTTGCTATTATCTTGGCATTGAAGTCAGGCAGAGCACGGGGGGCACCTCGATCAGCTAAGGAACCTACGCCGCCAAGATTCTGGAGAGGAGCGGCATGGCAGGGTGCAATCCCTGTCAAGTACCAATGGCAACGCATTTGAAACTGAACAAGAAGAGCACAGAGCTGTTAGTGGATGCAACTGCATACAGAAGCATTATGGGGAGTCTTAGGTACCTGGTCAATACTCATCTAGACCTAACATTTCCTGTTGGCTATGTGAGTCATTTCTAGAGGAGTCACGAAAAGATCACTTAGCCGCTGTGAAGTAAATTCTCTATTATGTGGCGGGAACCAAGAGTTGGGGTCTCAAGTATGAAAGAAAGGAGGAGCAGGTCTAGTTGACAGGGTTCAGCGATAGTGACTTCGTTGGTGATGTTGATGCTTAGAAGAGCACGGCTGGAGTCATTTTCTTCTTGGCCAACAGCCCAATTACTTGGCAGTCGATGAAATAGAAGGTGGTGGCTCAGTCTAGTTGTGAGGTAGAGTACATTGCGGCCGCCAATGCTGCCTGCTATGGTGTGTGGCTCGCTTGAATACTAGCAGAGGTGCATGACTCAGCACCAAGCGTGTCGATATTGAGGGTAGACAACAAGTCTACCATTGCGTTGATCAAGAATCCAATTCTCTATGGACATAGCAAGCACATTGAAGTAAAGTATCATCTTGTCCGAAAATCCGTAGAAAAGGGCTAGATCAACATGGAGTTCATCAGGAGTGAAGAATAGTTAGGAGACGTTCTAACAAAACCACTCAAAAAAGTTAAGTTCTATGAGTTTCGCATCAAGATTGGCCTTGTTGATGTTCATGGTGAGCACAACAAGGCTCAGGAGGAGATTGTGAATAGGAGCCTTGCACGTAGCCCCTCCTATTCATATAATGACATGGTACGATTATGCGAGAAGTGCTCTGACATGTACACGTCAGAGCACGTTGTGTGGTAATGCAGAATTTTTTACATGACGTGCATTACTAGCCAGTCTTGGCCAGTTAGTTATTTCTTATGGTTATTTTTTTCCCCCTTTGTTTTCTTATTTAAAAGAACTGTAAGAGTTTTTATAAGTAGAGAGAAAGTTTTCCTTGTTCCTCCTACTGTATTTTTCCTGTGATTTGGTGGTGATCTCACCGGCGACGTCTTAACTGCCGTCGTCTCTCTGGCGAGTCTTTGACAATGCCGATGTTCCGTGCACGATGCATTGAAGCTCTACTACATATGGATGATTGAAAAATGAGCATATGGCCTGTTGAAACTAAATTTGGTGAGATAATAGGTAAGGCAATTAGATGAATTGACAAGCATGCACTTTAATTTTGGTCCAAGGGTATACTAAATCTAAAAATAGCATATTTCTGGCCATTCTCGATGTCCTGAAGAAAATTTTAATATTCAATTGTCACGAACCTGAAGGTCTTACCCGTGGCTTGAGTTTCATGAGTCATGGTTTGCGGCTGATACAAAAATCAAACTTCTAGTCCCTAAAAATCAAGAAACATGACTGTGGTGAGGGACTTACCCCGTTGCTATGTTCTTAAACGAAACGGTACCATCTTTAGGGCATCCAGCCACAAAGAGATGCCCAGATGCCCGGTGGCAATGGCTCTTTTACTTCTATTGGTGCTGTCGTCGTCCCCGATTATCGCTGATCTTAAAATGCCTTCGTAGGGTCACGCTTGCCTTGGTAGTGTCACAGCTACGAAGCGGCTGGACACTTCGAGAGCTGAAGCCAGCACCGACCCCGCGACGCGAGCATTTAAGGCTCTTTGTAACTAAAGAGAATTGGATTCAATGATCTACCTGGGTACTTTAAATTTTGACTGCCTTGGTGACGTCTTACGTAAACTCTGTGTGTGTCTCTCTCTTCGCCACCCTCCCCCTCCCCCCATCGGCGTTGACGCTTGCGGAATTGTAGACCAATAAACAATAAAGTTTTTTTTATCTCATAGACGGAGGGACTATATATAATGAGAGACCTCATTGTAACTCCTATCAGTAATGGAATGCAGATATAATTTCACACCCATCTTAAAGCAATAAATTTTTAATGCCATTTGTAGGCGAAGAGTGGCAGAATTAACTGTGAAGGAAAGTCACCACAGGTTAGGACAAAGCAATTTGAAAAATATATTGTTTACCGGTAATCACTCAGAAGGGAATAATAGTTACTTATACTTCAGCTGTCTGAATAGTTCTTTAGTTCATTGATTGATACGGTGTGGTCTTTTGCCAAATGGAAGAGAATAATCCTGATGTGCTGTGTCTATTATCACCTTGCATAACAAGGATTCCTTCATAAATAAGCCTACAAGGCTGGTTGAACGTTCATGGCATCTCCTTTTTTTAATAAACGTCTAAACGCACGAAAACTGATTCTTCGTAATTTTTAGAAACAAATGTTAAAAATTTCGGAACAATTCTGTTTAAAACGTTTCAATAATCAGAAGTATAATTGTGTTATCAACGTGTGACCCTATCCTGTTAATGCCTTACTGTTTGTTGAAGAATCATCTACCTAAAATAGGTCAATTTTTTTTCCGTAATGTAGTTCCTGTATGTAGCCAATTGGCTAAGGTCTAATAAGGCATTAATATCGAAAATGATCATCATGTACCAATTAACAATTAAAAAGAGTACCCTGGTATCATAGACGTACCATGAGGGTTGAAAAGGATTGTCGGCTTTTTACTTTTTGAAACCATTTCGGTTCATGAGAGGACTGAGAAATTAAAATGTAGGTGAGTTAAAAGTGGAATACACTTTTAGTTTTCTTAATTCATTTCAGTTTCATAAACATATCAATTTCGGGTTTTACATAGTGGTTATGAGCTAAAAGTAAATCAGTGTCATGTTCCTAAGCAATGTACAATAATTCTGGGTTTTGATCAGTTCAATAATCATTCTGTTCAGAAAAAAAGTATTGGAGCTAAGGCAGCACAATTAAGGAAATCCAGGTATAGAAGTGATTATATGTAAACAGAGAAGTTTGTCCGTTGGTTTTATGATCACACTCCACATGTCAATTTTATCAACTCGATTGGAGAAGTAACGATACATTTTTTTTTATTGTCTAAGGCGCATTTGGTCGTTATATCTACACTGTAATGCCCCGTGTGATTTGAACTTGTATTAAATGCAAAGTAGCAGGAAAACAAGCAGGCAAAATGCTAACCTTCATGATCCCCAATGAAAGAACGATTAACCACATTAATACTTGATGCACCCCGTTATTGACACGACCTTTCTCAGTACAGGTCCAAGACGAAATTACATTCGAACAACCCAGATCTGCTTGAAAACGCCTTTCAGGAGGAGGGAAAAATCAACCACGAAAAGAATTGCAGTGAACCTAGGAATGTTACTTTACAGTTGCTTAAACTATTTTGACTACCTTTGTTTGTCTGATCTGAGTATCTACTTTGATCCTTTCCATCAAATGAAATAGTAATGGCAGGGGTGAACGAGTCTAATCATGTTGTCGGTCGGGTGAACAAGTCTAAACGGCAGAGATCTGATGATGGAAAAACAAATATTGTTACATATTGACCAGAGACTACGTCCAATTTGAGGAAGAGAAAAACATGACCAATTTATGATTTACAAAACCACAGATAATGGCAATTAGCACAATTATAGATACACGGGGGCTCGTGACAGATACTGTAGATATGACAAATACCTCAATTATAGCCAGAGGAAAGAGCGAATGCAGATATTACATCTATTATCTTAAGCCCGGAAATGTGGTAATTATTTGTTACTGATGAAAAGGCAGTGCAAGTTGTCTTTCGTATACCAGTCTCTGTAGTTCTCAGGTCAACCATCTTCGGCGTTGTGGTCAACCAGCAATACTTATCGTGGCCCTTTCGTCATTACTCTTTTTACAGATTTGGTCACAGTGAACGGCTGGACGCAATCTCGTGAAGCCGTTTATCCTCATCAATATCAGCAAATAAGCAATCTTCACCAGATGAAAGGTCTTCTTCTGGTGGAACGTGTTGCGTATAAGTGTGATTAAACAGACCCGTCCTCCGGCTAGAAAAAAAACACAAGAGAGTCTTGGAGTAACGTCAGTTCTTTTGCTCACTTCCGTTTTGAAATAAAAAATGCGTGAAAGTTTTGGGCGAGATGGATAAGGCAACGCAGACGCCTTTATTTGGCGGTGACCGTGCCCACAGTTTTCTTGCTAGTGGCCGAAGCTGCGATACTACAGCAGGAGACCACTGTCAATATCTCTAACTGGCCCTTTCGTATTGGTGTAGGTAAGAGGCATTATGTATCGCCCCCACGGCTCACACACCTAAGAGAGGTGCTCGTCATCTACCGTGATTTTGGAAGGCCGTACTCGGATGATCTACTCGGCAGCTTCCGCATTAGAATACTAATATGCCATACTATGTCTTCTCTCCTTCTGTCCCTCTTTACGTCTACTCTCCCTCCCCTTTCATTCTCTCTTTTGTTATCTCTGTTTTTTATCAGACGAAAAACTCCTAGGTCTTACTTTTGTCGGCCTTCACTTTTACTTCTACAATGATTTGCACATCGGATACCATTGTTTAGAATAAGCTTCTTCTTAGTTCTTGCGTAACATTCCGTTTATCTCCTGGTTCGCAACCATATTGCGTATCATTCTCTTAGAATAACAGTGACGATGAATGAGTCGCGAAAGGGTACCAGAAGATCTGACCGTCAGCAATTTAGGTATTATATAACTAATTAATTTGTGAGGAACTGATGACTTTTCATCTTTTGGTAAAAAAATAGCTGAAAGAATCCTGCTGAGAAGAAAGCTGAATTTTATCACCTGGCTCATGATGGGGAAACCAAATCTGTTAGATGGACTCGATAAGAAAAATTAGTCTGAACTCAGTTTTTCCTTCCACCATACTTCCCTCTCAGCCACGTTGTGTCCTATTCCACAGGCCTCTGACTTGTTCATAAAATCTAGGCCGATAACAGGATTTATGACTGCATTTACCAACAAGATTAGTCCTTCCTAATAGTCTGCATTATTGATTTTTATATTCTTCAGAAGTAAAGTTTAGAAGATTTTTATATGAAGTAAAGTTCCAAGCCATCAACTCTTACCAAATTAAGGAGAACCATATGATTAATGGAGCATTGAACTCAAATCAATTACTTTTTGAAAATCAAAACGGATAGATTTAAACCAAGGAAATCAGGCCTGTTTACGAGATCTATTTTCTTCATTAGTAATAAACGATCAAATATTATTAAATATATTCGGGAAATTTTGTAATATTAGGCGTTTCCTTAATATGTATAGCACATGGTTTGGTTGCAACATATGGACTGATTATTTTCCTATGGCGACGCTCATGTGGAAGGATCGTTCATGTGGAACTCAGACCACAAGTTGGTTTCCACGCTTAACTGGCTGATAAGACACTTGTTTTACAGGATATAAATGAAGCGTTGCCTTTAGGATCCTCCTGCCATGACTTTCTTTACCACAGGCATACTTCATTGGAAATGGTTTTGATGTTTTAGACTTTTTCCTTGTTGTCCATATAATACAAACTATTTCATCGTAAATAGTGAGTGTGGTAACTGACTCCATGTCGGCCGTTTGGGCCCCTTCGCTGACGGAGGAATCTACATTGTCTTTCCTTGTTTTTATGAGACAGAAGACGCCAGGGAGGAAATCGCACGAACCTGCTCCTTGCTTACCCGTGCCCAGAACTCGTCCATAAGGCCACTGGGATGTTCTATGTCTCTTTTATACCACTAGGTTGTTCCATGGTTTGAATGGTAAAGTGTTTTACAACATCCGCTGTGTCCAGGGAAACCGGAAAGTCGTTATTTCCAATACTTTTAGAGAATGCTCTCGAAGATGTCTAAGCACTCTTACAACTTGGATACGTGAATGTCAAAGTATTTTCAGATCTCTTCCGAATTGTGTATATGGTCTTTCATTGGCTCACTTTAAATAATCGGAAAATAGCTACACCTCGCGACACGAGTAGAACGTTAAACCCCTCCGGAAAAGTCGGGAAGAGACTAATGTGGATGGATCTAAGCTCAGCGTCTCGTCGCACTCCAGAGTCCTCGCACGCCCATTTCCGGATCGACAGTGGCGGCTCGCCAGCTTCCAACATCCAAGGTACCAACTTCGTACCATGGCAGTCCCGTGGGCTGTGTTCACTGGAAAAGCTCCCGAGTGTACATCAATAATTTTGGATTATGTAGACGCTATTTTGTCATCATAATGTTATTTACATCTTACGGGACACTCGTGTTTGTAATGAATGAGATTGAAGGTGTTTCGGGCACTAACATTCTAGTTTCATTTTAGTAGTTACCCGTACAGCAAACGTTCTATCATTTTTTAGTATTCAACGAATATTTTTGGTATGATTAGTGCTTTAACGGGAATATTACATGTAAAGCAAAAAGACGTAGATATTGAAGAGTCCATGGCTAGGCATAAATAGGGGAACAAATTGGAAGATAAAATCACAGCAGCAAATGAATGAGTACACTACAAATGGGAAAGAAATGAAATTATGGTGGTTCAGTCAGTTCTATGGTTTGTTGACGCCGATATATAACCAAAGAGTAGTCAAATTACTAAGACTTTTTTTTGTCAACGACACCGTGCTCGGTTGAAACACTTTTAACCGAGTTGCTCTACAGACCCGTCAACAGGAAATTCTATGGTTTATTTCGATTTCTTAACATGCCATCACTCGGCCATCCAACCGTCCGTTTCTGTGTTGTGAGGAGAGTCACACAGCTCGAGGCGGAACACCCTACACTTCTCTCGCTTCTCTTTGTTTCCTCGTCTCCAACCTTTGCTGACCTCTAAAGCGCCTCCGGAGGACACGGTTGCCTTCGTGGTGTCACAGCTACGAGGAGATTGGACAGTTCCGGCACTGAAGCCAGCACGATTGCGCAGCGCCGGTATTAAAGGCTCTGTAGCTAAAAAGAATTGGATTCAATGATGTACGCGGGTACTGCGAACTCTGACTGGCTTAGTGAGGTCTTAAAACTCTTTGTGCGTCTCCCTGCTTCCCATGGTAATTGCTTGTTTTACGTAATAATGACGCTTGGGGGAAGGGAGATCGGTAAAAGATGAAGTGTGATTTATCTTGTAGACTGGATGATATTATATAACAAGAGACCTCTTCGTAATTCATGTTAGTAATGGAATTGAGAGTTATGTTTCGTTCTATCTTAATGCATGGAATTTAGATGCCATTTGTCGGCTAAGAGATGTAGAAGTAACTGCTAAGGAAATTCATGACAGGTTATGACGAAGAAAAGTGAATTACAATTCGTCAAAAGGTAAAATGTAGTTATGCTTCAGCGGTCTGAATAGTTTTTACTTCATTGATTGCTCGGGCACAGTCTTTATCGAAAGCGAGAAAATAATCCTCATGTACTTTGTCTATTCTCACTTGAAGGAGCCAGCTCACTAGTTACCGAGCTAAATCGGATTCATTAATCAATCAGCTGACAAGGCTGGTTGATTGAAAGTCTAAGATCAAATATTTGTTTTCTCATTTTAATCAGCACTCAAATACAGGTAAACTGATTCATCATACTTTTCAGAAAAAAAGAAAAACATTTTCGATGTATGATGTTTAAAACGTGTTAAGCATCAAAGATACAATAGTACTTAATAGAAAAACAATTCCTGAAATAGTCGGAGAAAGTAGTGTTGGAATAATGCATCACACAGTTAACGTAATTTAAAATTACCAGGTATACAAAAGAACATACGCAAACAGTTTAGCTTGTACATGGATTTTATAATGACACTCAAGACTTCAGCTTTATAAACTCCATTGCAGAAGTAACGATACAAGCAATTTCACTGTCTGAAATGGAAATTATCATTGGATTCATACGGCATCATCAAGTTTCATTTGAACTCGTATTAAATTTGAAGTAGCATGGAAACTTGCTATTTAGTTTGAAGTTATATCCACGTTATCCGCCATAAAATGCGGAGCAATACGTACCTTTATAATCACCAAGAAAGGAACGAACTACAAGGTTAATACTACTGCACCATTAACACGACCTTCCTCTATACATTTCCAAGACCAAACGAGGGGCCAAGATCTGTCTGGAAACGCATTTCAGAAAGTGAGAGGAAATTTACATTTAGACGCTTTCCAACACAGGAAATTTACATGAACATTTGTGAAATTACTTTGACTACCGTTCTCTGTCTGATCTCAGTATCTATTTAGACGTTTTCCAACACAGAAATAAGTGGTACGCGAAGACAAAAAAGTTTACATAATCATATTATCGGCGTGATCAAGGAGTCCTAGATGATCATGACAAGTTTACCCCATAATCATATTATAGGGTAGATTAATTAATCATACTCCTTACCATATCTTTAAGTGTTTTGTTTTATCGTTCAGTAACACCATTCATGCTAAGAGATCCTAACATGGTATACTATGAGATGATGTCAAACTCCTCTAGGAATTTAGCAGAAGGTCCTAGATGTTGTTCACCTAATCTATCATATCTACTTTAATATTCACTACCATAGTCTGATCTGATGGCCTTAATCTATTTATTGAGTTAATTCTCAACTTTGGCCTTATATTTCTTGAACACATTCAGTGATTGAAACTTGTCATGAATTAGATACAAGTAGCCAAATTAAGAATAATCATCTATGAATGTAATAAAATATTATCGACCATTCCAAGAGGCTGTAGGGAATGGTCCACAAATATTCATATGTATTAATTCTAAGAGATCTGAAACTCGATTGACACTTGTTTTTTTTATGCCTATTCTTTTCCCCTTAATACGTTCAATATGTGTCAAAATCTTTATAATGAAGTGGGTCAAGAATTCCATCAGACACAAGTCGATCAATTCTCTTTTTAGGGAAATTCTTGTGTCATAATGAAGGGAAATTCTCATTAATTAGTTTTCTTTTATACTCCTTGAATTGATATGCATGATTTTATTAGAAAGAACTATTACATCAAGTAAGTATAAGTTATCATGACTGATAAAGCACCGATATTAGTATAATTTAAATTATCAAAGAGACTAAATTTTTCATTTCTAATTAGACAATCATAACTAAATTTATCTAAATTAGAAATGGAAATCATTTTTCGTCTAAAAGATGATATAACATGTCTCAATAAAATCCAAATAGTGTTTAGTTTTTAACAATAACTTAAAAGTCCGTATTACCTCCATGGCTACTATATTACTATTGTCCAAATAGATGTATCTTTCATCATCAATTAACTGAAAATAATGGAGGTAATCCTACATAGACACAGTTATGTGAATAGTAGCACTAGAATCTATCCACAATGTGTGCAAGGGTACAGAAGTTAAATTAACCTCTAAACAAGCCAAAGTGAGAAGGTCACCTTTCTTTGTACACCAAGCATGATACTTAATACAATCCTTCTTTATGTGGCCACCATGCTTGCAAAAGAAACAAGTAGATTCCTTATCTTACTTTATTTGTTGTTTTTTTAGTGGTGGTCCACCTGTAGCTTCATTGCCCATAGACTTTTCTTGATTTTATTTTTAGAGGTCATGGTCAAATGAGCACTCTCATGTCTATCTTGTTTCAACCTTTTTTTCTCTTGCACACAATGTGATATGAGCTCATCTAGGGACCATTTGTCCCTTCGACAATTATAGTTCATCTTAAATTGACTGAATGGTGTAGTAAGAGAAATCAGAATTAAGTGTATGACCAAATCTTCTGATAGCTCTAACTTTAGTAGCTTTAGTTTTGATGCAAGATGAGATATCTCGAGAATATACTCTTGTATATTTTCCTTGCCTTTATACTTTATAGATATAAGTTTTGCTAAGATCATACTTGTTTCAACCTTATCGCTCTCAGTAAACTTTTTCTCAAGTTCTTCAAGAAAAATTATTGCTATAGTGGCCTTTTCAAACAAAGTGCCCCTGAAGGCTTTTAGAATGGCACACATCATGACCATAAGACTCACATGATTTGATCAATTTCACTTATCCATATCTCTCTTATCCTCATGAGAGTCTATAGGACAATCTTCTCTTAATGCAATGTCTAGATCCATGTAACTAAGAACTATCATAATGTTCTCTTTCCATGCCTTAAAGTTGGTGCCATTTAACATAAGAATAGAGTTTATCTAAATATAAATAGTAGAAGCAGAACTTAAAACTATACATAGAATAATATAAAACTCACATAAGTAACTTGATTTTTAAATAATGGTACTTCCCATCACAAGATATTGATTGCAACATTAATACTTTGTCTTTGGATAGTAATATTAACTACAAGTAATATTTTGGTGTGACAAATAAATATTGAAAATAAGTTTTTGTCAAATAATAAGTCTTCTTTTGTACTAATTTATTATTTACATAAAAATATCAAATAATTGCCGCATATTTATTATCACATAAATATGTAATTTGTAAAATATTAAACTTTTCTTTGGGCCAGTTAGTATCCACAAAATTAGATACACAACATCTCATACATTAGCAAAATTAATATCCACAAGAGAACCTACTTTGGTAGGATGTTGCTTCAAGTAATAATTCTAAAATATCAGACATGTACCAAAATTTGAATCATGATAGTTATTTGACATTTATTTATACTCAATGTAAACATAAATATTAAAAATATCAAATAAATTCATTAAAATTCTGGAATGAAATTATCAATAATATTTCAAAAATAAAATGATGTCTGAAATAAATTATTTTATGGGCATGCCATCAGCAAACCAAATGTCGACATCATCATCATGACGTCATCCCTGTGCACCAGTGCGTCGGCTAACTAGATAGGCTTATGCCGAGCCGGTGCGCCGTCTGGCTATCCAGCTCGCGCTGAGCCGATCACCCGAACCGGTGTGAGCCAAGCCGCTTAACAGAACCGGCACGAGCCGAGCAGCGGAGCTGAACTGGCGCGAGCCTAGCTGCGGATCCGAACCGGCGCGAGCCGAGCCACGCACCAGAACCGACGCGAGCGGTGTACGAAACCGCCGTGTGACGGTTCCTCTCCCGTCCGGCACGCACCGAAAATGGTGTGGCCGTTTCGCGCGACGAATCAGCAGCCGGCGCCTGAAACGCCGCGTGACGGTTCCTCTCCTATCTGGCACGAACCAAAAATAGTGCGGCCGTTTCACGCGGCGTAGCGGTGCACGAACCGTCGCACGAAGGGAGAAAAAATTAGGGCTTATAAAGGTCGTCCTAAAAATGGCCTTCTGTTCGAAAAACGGACCCGCATCAGTTGCCCCTCCCTTCCACGTCTTCTTCATTCCCGCCGATTTCCGGAAGGCCCGGAAACCATCCTTCGGCGAGAGGAAGGGGAAGAACCAAAAGGATTAGGAGCATGCGGAAGCCACCGCAGCCCTCCGCATCCGACAGATCCTTTCGAAATCTTTTGGCCCCGGCCTGCACCTCTTCTTCGCCTTCCGGAGCCCTCCGGCGTCCATGCCTTCCGAAAGCGCCATCCACCGCTCTCCAGCCTCCCGTCTGACGACGGAAAGGGGAAAGGGGAACGGCTGGGTCCCTCCTGCAGCCCACGATTTCCAAATGGAAATCTTCCTTCGAGAAAAGAGAGGAAGAGAGGTGTGCGGAAACCACAGCTCCTCCTGCAGGGAAAGAAAAAGAGTCGACAAACCCTCTGAACAGCATGTGCGGTTCATTAATCCGTCCATGGTAAGGTTGAATCCTTACGATTTCCACAATGGACGCCTTAATCTAATTTTCAAAATAAGGCATCAAAGATGATACCGTGATGAATGAAAATTAATGAACAAATGTCATTCTCTAAAAAATCAACACATTTAACTCGGATACCACTTGTTGTGTTGAATCTGAAGGACCTTGTGTTGATGAAGATGGAAAATGATAAAATAGAATGAAAATAGATTGAAACCATACCTAAATCCATGAAGGCGTAAGTACAAAGGATGGCCTTTTGGATCAGCACACACAAGAGGTGGTTAGCCTCTTGTGTCCTTTTCCAATTTAGCCCATCATAAAATTGAAACAAGACCTGGTCTTTATGCATATTTATATTTATGCCCATACTTATGAGAGAACTCATAATCTCAAATACTTAAACTCCAATGAATCACTTTAAGTGTGATTAATTCAATGATAACCCCATAATATACAATTCATATATATCATTCTCCACATTGAAATTAATTCTAACAATAAATACACAAATTCCATCAATATTGACAAGATTGAGCAACAAAATGATTTTCCTTGGTCAATATTTAATATCTCAAGAGATGTAACAGTGTCCAAAAAGAGAAAAAGTGAATGAGAATCTTCTTCGACCTGTTTTAAAATAATGTTAAAAAATTCATTCATTTAATTAGAGACTAAGTTTATGAGAAACTATCAAAAAGCCAACCAATATCTAACATTTAAAACCCATGGTTTGTTGACATTCTGATGTGGAGCATTTCGATTTAGTGATGCATTCATCTTTGGTCACCACTAATCCTTTTGATGTCCTTGGCAATACAAAGCCCAAAAAGGTAGCTTCTTAAGCTTTGGACAGCTTGAGACTGAGACATTCCATAGAGAAGGAAATAACAAGGGATGCCCACATATGCTCCTCGAATTTGGAAGATCATTCAAGAGAATCAATTTTGATTGAGGAAAAAATAATCACTTTCATAGTCCAAATTCCCGTCAACACCTCTTCAACAACTATCGGCTCTACTAGTTTTGGACACTCACCTAGGTTTAGAAGCACAATGCATGCATCTCACAATGCATGCACGCGTACCCAAGGACTTCCCAAGGAGGTCACCCATCTAAGGACTACTCTCACCTAAGCATACTTAACTCTGGAGTTCTTATAAGATAAGATGACAACTCTCCCACTAAAGAGGGTTTTTTCTAATACTTCACATTATATAATATTTAAACTCAGAAGGTGTCTGAAGGCCACACCTATGCTAGGTCCTCTCACAACATTGTTGCCATCTTTCTAAGAGATAGTTGCTTAGTGAAGTTTCAACAACTTCAGAATCTTCAGCAACATGCGCTAGTTCATATTGAAGATTAGTGCTTCCAAGTGGGTCTTTTTAGTTTCCATGAGATGTTGATAGACAACTTCTTAAAAAATGCACCTATAAACATAATATTGGGTTTTAAGCTGCACCTAGATCAAGAAAAAATATTTATATTTGTTGGATATTTTATTTAACTTTATTTAGTTTCTTTCTAATCTTATTTCCTCAATCTAAATCATAAAATTTTTAGCTTATGAATCCAAGGCATTCAAAGGTTTTTATAGTTGTCCACTCTCCAAAAAGAAAAACTATTCCTTGGTTGCATTAGACCAATTATTCACCAATCACATGCGCTTAGCTCCCATGAAGTTTCTTTAGAAGTTATCTTATTGATTCATGATTTCATGAAGCTAATAATTGATTAGAGGATCACCTTCTTTGATGATTAATTAAGTACTTAATATTAAGTTTTTCTCACAAAGATAAGCATGACTTTCAATAGATATTTTCTAATTGTTGGAGTTGACTTTGTCTAATACTTTGATTAAGGGGATGATGTCGTAGTCTAAAGTGACAACCACCGGAGATGATTCGATGATTGATAACTCTATACTTAGGATGTTATAGATCTTAAGTGAAGTTATTTAAAACTATTTATAATTCCACTATCTTAATCAATCTAATAAATAGAGAGGGTAAGATAGGGGTCGAATCACAAAGAGAAAAACTAATCTTAAGAAATCTTAAGTAATGAAAAGAAATAGATTAGAAAATGGACAAGAGAAAGAGAGATTAGAGATGAGAGGTGAGTTGAAAATGAGAAATATGGGTGAAATGAGATGTACTAAAAGAAACCCCAGATCAGAGTTGACCTAGGAGGTGTAGAAAAGAGGCTTTGAGAGTATTTTAATAAAAAAAATGGTCGAGATTGACAAGAAAAGGAAACAAGTAAGCACAAGGAAGAAGATTGCTCAATCTGAGCCTTTATATATTGCCAAGGCCAGGGAGTTTACTTTGATAGGTTGATCTCCAGCACTTTACTCCTTGCAACTCAATCCTCAACACTCAACTTTACTGAACACTTTACTCAAGTGATTCTAATCACTCAAGATGATACAAAAGGGGAAGAAGAATAGATCTTTAGAATAGAAAATATTTCACTATTGCCAGCCACTCTTGGGGCTCCTTCTAGAAAGATGAGAAAGAAAGAGGGTAAAGGGAATACATATATGTAGTAAAATTTCCCAAAATACCCTTGGCCATTTCTCAAAATACCTTCAGCTCTTCTCCTTCGTTTTCACAACTTTCTTGAAGTTGATTTTTTAATCTAAATATGGGGATGTGAAGAGGACATCTTGAAGATCGTGCCCACAAAATTTAGGCTCGAAACTTCTTTTGAATTGTCAAATATCGATGCTAGAAGACGGAGAAATTAGGCGTTGATTGGGTGTCCCAGCCGCAAATGAACCATCGAAAAGTGACGGCTGAAAAGAGACGTCTTTAACTGTTGCTCACAGTGACAAGACGTGCTTCAATCATTGACTGGCAGTCAACATCTTCTCACCTTCCACGTGTCATTAACTGAAAAAAGTTGAAGAAAACCCCTAGAATGTGTGAAATATATGTATTTCCCTAAATTAGTTAAATATCCTCATGACTTAAATATATCAAAATAAACTCAAAAAAAATATAAAAAATTCAAGAATAATAAAGTTATTTTTTGCCTATTTTATATCTGATAAAATGACAAAATAAGATATTTGATCATAAAATATATTCACTTAAGGTAATTAATTTTTAGCATATTATCACACCCCCCTAAGATTATTGCTAGTCTCTTAGTAATTCATTATGTCTAGGCTTAGATCATTATTCACCTAAGTCAATATATATACCTAACAGTTCACACTAAGCTCACACTCACCTTTTGGTCTATTACAAGGACACCTCCTCCTACTCATGGGCATAGAATTCTGAAGAATGTAAAAAGATGTGTGACAATGAAGAGAGTGAAAGACAAGGTATTGGTGGTGGTTGAAGGCTATGGATGAAGGATATGGGTAGTGAATTAGATCTAGAGTTATATGTTGATCAATTGGAGAATGGTGGGTTGAAAT